CTTGGATACAATGACGCTGAAACGTTAACTGCTCAGACCCCTGGCCCACTTCAGCTAAGGCCAAAGGTTCAGCCCCTACATCAGGTTCACTGTTCAGCCACATACAGCCTTGAACATGGGTCACCACCAGTTAAAAGAAACTACACTAAAGAGGCAGGTCAGAGAGAAGGACGTGAGGCAAAGGTGTGGCATGGTGAGCAGAGTCAAGCATGTCCACGCCATTAAAGCTGAAAAAGCAGAGCCATTGCTAAGCCTCACTGAGTGGATACAGCAAATGGATAAAAAAAGAATACAAAACTAACAATACAAAGCTAACGTCATCCCTCCTCAAGGAAAACGAATACTAAAGATAACGGGCATTTCCGCACAGCAGCAGAAAACCCACTGGATCCGAATCATTTGTGGGATCGCCTGAAAAACTTCCCCCAAATAATTTCGGAGTTGCCTACCGAGCCAAGTCACCATGTTAGGAATCCAATCAGGACCGTGGAAAGTAGCACACCAGCCTTACTTCCTACTTGGCGCCAAAAACCAATTTCCCACGTTCTCCCTGAAAGACTAAAATCAGACAGCTTCCATGGAAATGGAAAATCAGGCCAGACTCTGCTGAGAAAGGGTGGTAGCCTTTTAACAATTACCGGGGATAAGTCAACACCCAAACAACAGACTTCAGGCTGCAAGGCTACTGGATACATTTTATGGAGAATGTCAACACCGAACAAGACTCTTCCTGTGGAAACACTACCCTAGGTATTGCATAACTGCATAATTCTTCCTTCAGTCCCATACTGGAAACATCTCCTATTGGATTGCTCTAGTTATCTGAATTCTCACCCTCAGCTGGGTCAGAAGGACTTGGAAGGAACCGCTTCTGGTTCCTTGAGGGGTGGCTCATCCCATAGTAGGTACTCAGTGTTTTGACTGGTTAAAATAAACAGGCAGAACACACACACACATACACGCTGAATTCCGATCAGAGGGAGCGGGTATAGAAACTAACTACACAAACGCCAAGTCTCTCAGCTTGCCAAATTGTCACTCTCAAAGTAATATTAAGCACAGTTCTTTGTCTCTGAATTGTGAAATACTTTATATACTAATAAAGAATGTGTACTTCATTGTGTATTTAACTGCATAAGCCTGCATTTGGTTTAACTGAGCAAGAGTAAGTCCTTGTTCCTAAGCGAACTCTCAAGTTCCAGTCAACTCTTAAATATTAACACTCGTATTGAGGAACAAAGATGCAGATAATACAAAACAGATTATTTTAAATCATTCACTCTTGGTATGCAGATATATTCTTTTTTTTTCTTTTCTTTTAACTTGCAATTAAATGCGTATGGCTGATGTTGTGGCATTCACAATACTTCTAACAAAGGACTTAAACCATGCTGGAAAAATCTGACTTTGAAAGTTCTCCATGTGCATCCTTCACTCACCGGCTCTGCTACTGAGTTTTGCACCAACTCAACATCGGTCCAGGACAGCATCACCTCTTAGAAGGTTGCCAAAAAAACTGGTTTAAAAAAAAAAGGCAAACTACATTCTTCCCAGGTTGTTGCTTTCCAGAATCACACTTTCTGGAGGGTGGGAAAGTAATTAGGGTTTTTGGGCTGGAAAAGCCCTTTTATTTTAGCTCCTACCGGGCTGGTGTAAACAAAGATATCATTAATGTCAACAATGACTTAATTAACCAGAGTAGGTGACAAGAACTTAAAAGAGTCACCTCCTCCCCCAGGATAATCAAGCTTGACTATACTTTAAATAATTAGAATATTAATCAACGGAACAGTACTTGGCATTGAGGACTGCCCCCCGACCTTTGAGTCAATAACTGAATTTATAGCCTTCAGCCATTCCTCTACAACAATGAATTACCAACTGGAAATATTCTTTTTTTATCTGGGATATTAACTAAAATCTCCTAGAGATTATTTGCTTCTCAAGTCGGTTGAGTAGATCCAACCCTACTGTTTGTTACCACTTCATCGTGTCCAGAAGACAAATGGTATGTGACAGATGATGTGATAGGATGATATAGGGTAATATTGTACAAAGCCAAGAAGCCTGGAAAAGGATCCTCCAGTCTTAGGGCTCAGGCTTCTTCCTGGAACTTACTCACATTTTTCCCTGGATACATTTTCCTCTGGTCCAGCCCAAGAGACCTCATCTAATCTGAGCCTCCGAATTAACAAACCAGAAAGTCTTCCAAGATGGGGCCTGGTGCAACAGAAGGTGAAGGTTGAATTTATATTAACCAAAGCTATAGTTATACTAACCACGGGGGGACAGCCTGGGACTAGCACACACTCATCCATCCATAGTCCCTCCTTCTCTCCCACCCTCCCTTTCTCCCCCCAGTTCGGCAAGGGGACCATGGCTTAAGCTGGAGCTGTCCCAATCAGTCAGTTGGCATCCAGTTAACTCCTTTTTCATCTAGAATTAGATTAGGTGACCTTCCTAATAACCTCTGACACCAAAGCTAAACTACCTGCGATGGAAGAATTCAAATCGGTTGCCAATATGGTACTGACCGACCAGGGCAGCCCAGATGCTCCAGAAAGCAAACACAGCCGCCTGGAATCACACAGGGCCTTCTCTGTGACAGAGCAACTTCCTTCTCAACTGTCCCCAAAAGCCTCCACATTTCCTGACACTGTGGCACCTGGCAGGGCCAGCTCACACGGGACAGAGCAGACATGTGTGCCCATCTCATGGGCAACAAGGAGGCTAACATGTCCTGGGTGCTCAGGAGGTACCAGGCCACGTGCCGACTGCTCTCTGCTCCCAGGATCGCTGAAATCTCCTGGTGACCTTCTAATGTAAGGAACCAGAAGCCTCCTGAGGACGTTAATATACACTTAACATTAATCAAGACCTCAAGGTCATCTTATCAAACCATCGGACAACAGAAAGGGAAACAGAGGGCAGGGGTTCGCATGCTTTTCCACCCCTCTGTTGGTCTGCACCTTCCATTTAAAACATCTCACAACCGTGGACACAAACTTCATAGAAGCCTGTGAGCCCAGAAAAATGCATGAAACGACTTTGGCAAAGTATTTCTTATAATTTTGGGGAATTCGCGAACCACCCCACCCCAAACCCCAAGAGGATCCCCAGATCCCAGGTTGGGAAGACCTGCTTTCAACAATACTCCCATTGTTGCATATAAATTTTTACACAAAGAACCACTGGGGGCACTTTATCGCTGTCCATGGTTTCCTCCCCCTCTCTGCCCTACCTCTTTCTTCCTGCATATTTTAAACTGCCTTCAGTAATTAAGGACGAGAAAAGAAGTCCTCCAGGACCGTTTTACACTTTCTGTTGAGATAAACTGCCAAGAATATGCTGTCCTGAAAGTCAAAATGAAAAATGACAGTTTCTTCCTAACCTGGGCCATTCCGGGGCTCATCCGGTAGGAAATCCTGGCTCAGCTGCCTCACTGCGTGCTGAGCCATGCACTCAAGGGAAAACCAGCAATTAGGAAACACATCTATTTTAATTATTAGCAAAATTAAAGTAGTACAGGCCTGACTTTCAGAAACCAGGACCCTTTTCTCTCTTGTTAAGCCCTTTAGAAACGCATTGCCTTTGCAAATCACACGCATGCTTACGTCGCATCACAGGGCACAAGGAGCCTGTCCCCTATAAGTGCCACAGACACGAACTCTCACCAGACTCCCCCTCCCCGAGACGTAGAAGCCACTGTGACGTCACTGCACCTGTTCTCATGAGGCCTCCATGGCTCTCCATGAGACAGGGCACTGGCCTGCCTCCGGCCAGTGCTTGACTGCTTCGGGTAAAATCCGGGCCATTTTAGAAAAACTGTTGCCCTTACCTATCCTTTCATGACCCGTGCACAGGGTCCCACTGGGAGCCCCTCTCTCAGCGCGGTCATTTTGGGCAGGGACGCAGCCCTCCTTCCCGTGTTATCCTGACCAGGCTCTCTGTCCCTTGCCAGTCTGTGGTGCCGGGTGCTTTTCCAGAACAGCTGAGCTGACCCCAGACCACTCAGGACCACGGCAGGCCCCCAAAGCTAAGCAAGCACCAGGTGGGCTCTCAGCAAACAGGTTCATTAAGTGGCGATGAGTGCTGGGATCTGCCATTTTATTCTCGGATTACCACTCGAAAAATAACTCAGCTACCAATATTCCCGGCTGATGACAGATTTCAATGCCGCCCCAAGTGGAGGCTTGGCTACTGTGGTCTCGGAAGGACCCGGGAAAAAGGTTCCAGAACTGCCCAGCTGAGTAATACGGCACCATTTAGTGTTCACAACTGGCTTTCTGCCTTTAAAATTAAATTTCCAAAGCTGAAACACCAGTGTGTGGCCTGTTTGACCTGGAAGTTCTCATAGAGGTGGGAGATACCCAGGTACCTTCACTTTCAAATTTACCTAGAACAGACTCGCAGCTTCTGTGACATATTGCTTAGGTATTAGGAATCACAATGGCTTAAAAAAAAAAAAAAAAAAGGTAAAACGTCAAGCATCTCTGTGAACTCCGGAAGCTTCTTTTTCTCCTTAGACAATGAAAATAAAGCGTCAGCGTTTCAGATATTGGCAATTTCCCTCCGTGGCTCCTTTTGTCAGCAAACAGCCAATCCTTCACATCCTAAGCAAGACTCTCCCTCCAGTAAGAATGCTCCTGCTTGGAAGGCTCTAGATGGCATTCACCTACAGGCTCCCCTCCCACAGCTCTCCTGGGCCGCTGCCTCCCTCGCCCAGCACAGAGAAACGCACACACCAAGAAACCACCAAACCGGACCATTCTGCCTGCAGTGTCACAGCAAGGAAACTTCTCTCGACATCTCGGACTTGGGGGGGACGGGGTGCCAATTTCTGACCTGGGGGGAGCGGAGAGTCCACTCTCCTTGCTCTTGAAGACTCACTTACAATGCAAGGGCAGCTGATTCAAAAGCAGGCCTTAACCTCAGCGCCACTTCCCCAGACACATCCCCAAACAAACTCGGTGCCCTGGAAGGTGAGACAAACAACTTACCTTCCGGCTCTAATGTGGTATCCTCCACTAGATCGAAGGAGGGCCGGGCCAGGGACAAGGTTGCCATGGTGACCGCGACCAGGCAGCCCCAGCGGGCCCAGCTGAGCACGGCTGTGGCCGTACCAGTCCCCCGTCCTCTTCCATATCTCCACGTGGACGTCACTCCCATCTGCACACCTCGTCTGCGAGCATGGACTGCCAGCAATGCCTCCAGCCTGCGGCGCACTCCGGAGCCAAGGTGCCGCCGAAGCCGCTGCAGCCCCTAGGGGAGACAGATGCAGCGAGTCAGTGCAATCCTCCCCGATGCCAATTCGTGGAAACCCAAGTGGGCTACAGCCTCTTCAAAGAGGCACCAACAGCTCCTCTGCATTATCTGCAAACGCCCTGCGTGGGCGCCTCGGGGTCTCAGGTGTTCCTGCCAGACCGGTCCCCAACGAGCCGTGCCGGGCTGACCGTGAGGACGCACACTTCTAAGAACCGGAGATGAAAGAGTGGCTATGGGACACAGCTCTGTGCGGCCACTCTCTTCTGCCATCCACTGTCACCTCTACAGCCCTCAAAACACAGAAGCAACGTGCCCTTAGTTTCAAGGGCAAGTACAAAAGCAAGTTAACAGTGCTCGGGTTGGCAGAACCAGCCTTGTTAACTTCTCTTAGGCCAACGGGGCTTTAGACAGCTGGATGGTGGAGGCAGCTGCGTGCAGACTTATTTCTGGGGCCGCGGCTGAGCGGCTGGCTCCACCCTCACTGTAGTACTAGGCAAGAAAGGAGACCCGCAAAATAAAAGGAACCCCAGGAAGGCTACCAAAAAGCCCTCACCAGTTTACACTTGTCAGGATTCATTTTCCAATATGGAAATGTATTTCTCGATCTTGCGCCAAGCAGCCACTTACGGGAGAATGAAAGGAACTGCAAACACATTCAAAGCGGCGGATCCAAAAAGAGGTTCAAAGCCTGAATCCCCTTCCACTTCGACTACTGGCAGCCCCCTCCTGGTCAATGTCTTCAGCCCACACAGCGGATGCAAACGCTGAGGAATAACGCAGGTGTTGATTAACAACGATGGTGATATGTGAACTACTGTCATGGTATGTGATTGGACCAATAACTTGCAATATGCTAACCTATTGGCTAAAACTTCAGAAGTTACAGGGGGTGCTCCACTCACTGGTCTGTTCACCCATGTGACCCAAAGGCAAAGAGAATTGTCCAAGCTTAACTATTCTAAATAACTTTAAATGTACTCATTATCCTCAATGACTAAGTGCAGAACCGAAATGCACAAACTTGAGAAAATTTGCAACGACCACAGATTCGGTGAACCAAATAAACGAACCACACTTTAAGGACTGGGGGTGAGGGTGAGACCTTTAATATAAAAATCTCTAAAGCCCGGGCTTTTGGCATGCCAACTTGATGTTTCAAACATGTCAAAGATTCAAAGATTTCAACATTGCCTGAGCCTCTCCAAAGCTACATCAGAAAAACTGTTCCTCTTAGCCTTGACGAAGGATTAAAATGGGAAAAGAGAATGCTGCAGTTCCTGAGAAGGAAAAAGGAAAACCTCTGCTTCAAAAGAAAGCACATATGAAACGGTGTGATTCACAGCAAAAGCAAGAAAAGCATGTGCCTGTGAGCACACCCTCTATTTTCAGGTTGCTTGAAGGATGTTTTTTCCCCCCTCGATCTTCTTTCCTCTTGAAGTTAAGAGCCTCAAAAGATAACTCGGTATCTATTTCTACATACGTGTGGGAGGAAAGTACACAAGCATTCTCATTGATTTACTAAGCATTTCCAGAATGCATGGGAATGTTCCTCCTCTGACACAACTTCATGAACAATCTTAAATCCGAGCAGATTTCATCCCAGGCTGCTTCCCTGGCTTCATCACCCACCTGTCCCAGCCCAGAAGGGTTTCCTTTGCTCCAGGCAGAGAAAGCTGGCCAGGGACCTAAATCAGCTAAATCTCAGACCATTCATTCATCCCATCAGCTCGCACGAGAAACCTGAATTTTAGCCATTACCAGGTCTAGGCCCCAGGCCGCCCCCTGCCCAAATCTCTGGAACGCGGAGGCCTAAGGCAGCCCGTCTGCACAACCCCTCACCAGAGTGGACACAAGTGTGGAGGGACCTCCTAGGCAGGATAATTAGGTCCCGAGGCTCGGTGTTGGGAACACAGGCCCAGCAGGCTGCTGGCGGCCACAATCCCGGCTTCCTGCCTTCAATACCATAATCCTTCCTGGAGTCTGAGCCTCAGTGAAAGCCCCAGCGTGTTTATTTTTCCCCTTGAAAGGGAACTCTCTTCTCGGCCCTGGGAAGAGTTGTCACCCTCCCTATGACGGACGGCTCTTCACGGCCCCCCGCTCCCCGGGTCTGTTTTCACCTGGGCACAAGCCTGCCCCCAAAGTCAGGCAAAGTGACAAGCAAGAGAGCCTGACTGTCGAGTGGTCCCTATGCCAGGTTCGTGCTGGGCTCCTCAATTAACTAAAATATTCCCAATCCCCCCCACCCCACCCCCACGCTCCAAGAAGGCAAACCAACACAGTGCCTACCTTAATTGAGCTTCTACCACTGAGTGGTTATCTGTCCTCTGCCGGCTCACCCATGCTGAGCACTTGGGCGCTTTGTTTCTGGTAGATTTTACATCAGGAAAGTCAACAGTGCCAGGCAAACTTGGGATGCCTGGGTCCCCCCCAGGGGGGCCGACCTATCTCTGAGCTCAAAGCCTCCCTACTGTTCCCCTTGTCTTCCGAGCTGAGTAATGGAGAGAGCTATCAGGGGTCAAATCTGGGCGGGTGAGGGGAGGGGGGATAGAGAGGAAGTTCCTCAACAAACTGAAATCTCCAAAAACACAAAATAAGGCTGACCCAGGACGACAATCCATCCCCTGGTTAACGCTAGCAAGCCAGTGAGAACTTGCAGCAGCTTTGGGGAACTCCTAACCACCTCCAGCCCGGTTCCATTGTAGCATTTCTTTCATTTGTTTGCCTGGAATATCCTGTTTTTCTGCCCCTTCTTGGGGCGCTAAAGAGCTCAGAGAAATCTGCATTTTAATTGACATTCCAGGGAGAGGGGCGCCTGATTGCTTTTCTATTCAAACTAAACAGGCTTTTCAGATGAAAATGAGTCGCGGCCAGTGGAAGATTTACAGGGATTTGGGAGCAGGGGGACAATGGGGTTTTAAATGTTGATAGCGTTTCACACCAAACACATAATGGGTGCCCCGAGTGTGAAAGCAGGTTTGCTTTCAAGGGTAGGTTTTATTGAATTGGGCCGGAGGAAGGCAGGCCCGTAGAAGGGTCTGGCGAGAGTCGGGCTTCGAGGGGAGCGGCGGCGATTGGGCGTGCCCGGCCGGGACCCCTGCGCCCGGCCCTGTGGCCGCGAGGGTGGGAGCCAGCGCCTCGCAGGGCCCTGGGCTGACTCCCCGGCGCGGCCCCGGCGCGGCCCCGGCGCTGAAAGAATGAGCGCGCAAGTTAGAACTCGCCTGCGCTTTCGACATCCCCGAGCTGCTGCCGGCTGAGCAGGCGGCGAGCTAGAAAAAGTCGGTCCAGTTCGCCCCCTAGCCCCGGCGCGCTGCGCTCCCTCCAGCACCGACGGCGGCAGCGGGAGAGGGGCGCCGGTTACTGAAATCGGGGAACCCGAGCAGCCTCCTCCCCCAGGGTGCCACCCCCGAGCACAGCCAGCCCTACGGAGAGGTCGCCGGTCCCATCCAGCGGCTCCCTCCCGGGGAAGGGTCTCCACCGCTCCCCCCCACCGCCCGGCCTGGATGGGACAGGGAGCGCGCCCCCCGGGCCCCAGAATGAGGCACCCTGAAGATGCCCCTGCGAACCCCGGACCTGCGGAGCCGAGCCACGGGCGAGGCAGCCCCGCCACTCGCCCGACCGCCCTGGGGTCGGAGGATCGCGCCGGCCGGTGTTTGACAGGGACCGGGTGTCAATGCCAGAAGCAGATGTCAGCATCTGGATGGGGGCGATAAGTAGAGGCAGAGCTTCCCAAGCGGCCGCCGTCAGCACGCACCCCGCTCCCCCATCACCTATGCAGCCAAAGAGGGAGGACAGGGGACAGCCTCGACCGTGCCAGGCCCCCGCGCCCTCCGCTCGGGGGACGGTGCACCCGGCGTCCCGGACTCCCGCGGCGCCAGCTTTCCCGGCTGGCGAGGCTCCCCGAGGCACCCGACACGGCGATTACCTTGAATGGCAACGCTCCTCGGCCGCCGGTCTGTCCCCGCGCCCGGCGTGAGTCGGGATGGAGCAAGCGACGAACTCGGGGGAAACTCCAAAACAGAGTGGTCCTCGGGTCCTGCCTGAGCCAAGGCTCCGAGGCTTCAGGCGCGCCCCAGGCTGAGGAGGAGCGCGGGCATGACGCCCGCCGGCTGCCCTCGGGTTTGCGGAGCGAGGGGAAGAAAGGACTCAGGCTCGGCGTCTCCTCCACCAAACTTTGCTCGCAACTTGCGAACGCACAGGGCGCCCTGGAAAGCCGCGGCCTCGGGGCGCCCGGGCCCCGCCAGCCCGGAGAGCAGAAGCCGCGCCGGGCCAGCTACGCCGCGCGCACACCCCGCGGCGCCCGAGCTTTGTGGCGGCCGCGCTCGCTCGCTCGCCCGCTCCGCACCCGCCGCCCTCCCGCTCGGCTCTCCGCGGCGCTCTCCGCCGCCGCCGCCGCCCGCGCCGCCGCCGCCGCCCCCTCCCCGCGGGTCACGCCCCCGCTGAAACCCGAGCCGTTTCCTGGACGGCGGCGCCGGCTCTGCCAATCAGCGCCGCGCGCCCGGCTGCCCGGACTCCGCGCGGCTCCCGACGCCCGCGAGCAGCCCGAGACCCCGGCCACCCCCGGCCCGGAGAGGTACGGCGACGGCCTCGCCCCGCGCCACCGCCCGCTTCCTTCCCTGGGGGCTTAGGCAGACGGCTCGCCGGCTGATCGCTGATCGCGTTGCGTTTAGTTCAAGTCAGTAAAACAAATGACGGACTGCCTGCCCTACCCCTGAAGCGACTGCACTGGGGCGGGGGGTGGTTAATGCAAGTGAAACTTCTGGAGGAGAATGTCCTGCAAAACAATAGCGGTGAGAGAAGAAACCAGTATCTATGGAGGCCCTACTCTGGACAGGGCACACCGAACACGTTCTTTTTCCTCGGCATCACCGCCCTGCAGAAAGTAATATTGCCAGTTTCTGATAAGGAAACAGGAGGAGAGAAGTTAAGCAATTTGTCCAGGGCCACACAGCCGCTTATTGGCAGAGCCTGACTTTGAATCTGGCCTCTCCTAGAGAAAGTCAAAAACGGCAACGACAAAAAATGTGTTGTTTAGTAATATATATCTGGAGTAATAAAAAGAAATTGGAAAGATTCTAAAGACTACTCCGCTATAAATAGCTATGTGGCCTTGAGCAAAGCAGTTCCTCCTTCTGAATCTTAGATTCTTCAACCGCAAAATCAGATTCTAAAACTGAATGCCAGGCTGCAACTGGTTAAAGTTCGTATTTTCCATTTACCTTTCTCGGGAGGCTGTGTCTACGGGATAATTTATTTTTTAATATACTTTCTCTCCTCCTCAGTCATCCAGGTCCTGAGCTTTTGTACTTAAGTCCAAGACAACATAGATAAAAACCTTAATTATTTTTCCTTAGAAAAGGTCATTAAACCCCGAAGTGCTTCAAAATGCTTTTGAGGCCTGAAGATAGATGGAGCAGTGAGTACAAAACTGACCTGGAAAATCGACTTTTCCAGCATTTAGAAATGCAGTTGCTCCTGGGTCACCGACATAGCACACTTCAATAACATTTACGAAAAAAAATTTTTTTGAAGGTGCCACACATCATGAGAAAATCATTTTTCTTCACAATACATCACAGAAAACTTTTATGTAAATAACTTACATGCTGGGAGTATCAAATCCATTGACATGCTTCAGGCAAATGGCTGTGAAATTCTATTTTGGAAATTTGACCGCAAAAGGAATAGATTCTCAAGCCAAATGATTGGTCCATATGCTTGGGTATGTTTTTGGTCAAGTCTGTTTTTTTTTTTTTTTTAAGTTTTATTTATTTGACGGACAGAGAGGGAACACAAGCAGGGAGAGTGGGAGAGGGAGAAGCAGGCTTCCCGCGGAGCAGGGAGCCAGATGCAGGGCTCAATGCAAGGCTCCATCCCAGGACCCTGGGACCATAACCTGAGCCGAAGGCAGACGCTTAACGACTGAGCCACCCAGGTGCCCCTTTGGTCAATTCTTAACCTGGATCAGTCCTAAGGCCTTTCATGAACTGACACCTCAGCGGTCCACTCACACCTGGATGGTTCTGAACACACCAATACCTTTTCCAAGTCCTCAGACCTGTGATGATAAAAAGAGAGGTGGCTGCATGTCTGCCTCCTCGGGCCCTGGCACTTAACATCTTTATATTCCCCACCAATGGGAAACTCAAGTGTCTCAGGACAGATCCCCTTCCCATCCTGCAACATATCCGTCAGCCATTGAAAATGCTGTTAACACATTCTCACATAAATTACTGGTGCAGGAAGCCATCGTCCCTAACCCCATTCATCAATAGCTTGATGTACACTGAATAAAAAGGCAGGCTTCCACTGAAAATGACAAATCAGAACACCTACTTTCATGACCAGATGCAGTTTGCAGAATTTATTCTTTACAGGGCTGAAAAGACACCCATCCATCACAAGACCCTTATTCCCCTAGAGTGTTCCTTTTTTAAGGGAGCAAAGCCCACAGGCCCACAGCAGCAACCTTCTTCAGTTCTGAAAGAAGCAAAAGCATGTTTGGAATTTTTTTTTTTTTTTTTTTTTACAAAAACCGATTCTGTCATCATATTTAGGCTTCAAGTGACCTCAGAGGGTCTAGGAAAGCTTTCACACCAGTGAGGCTTCTGAATGAGAAAATAATCTCTGGACAGTTTTTTTTCTCTTCCCTCTTCAAGTGGCTGGAACCCCTTTTGTCAATGGCCTCCCGTGAATGGTGTTGCTAATAAGCCTATTAATGAGCTTCCCCGGCCGAGTGTGAATAGGTAAATAAGCCCCAATCTGTTGAGGTTCAGGGCCGAGGGCAGAAAAGCCAGCAAGAACTAAAGGTGACAGTTTGCACTGAACTACCAGCGCCAGCACCAGGTTTCTGCTGAAAGAACCGCCAGACAAGGCCACATTCACCACCCCTCCGCCCCCCACTGGGGGCCCTTTTCTTCACAATTTTCCCCCCTTTACAAAATGTCTTGAGTAGCCACCTTTTTTTTTTTTTTTCAAAAGCCCTCGAGACGCCCTTCTTTCTTTCACTCTAGTAATGATACATCAATGAAAGGAAGAAAAATGAGGACACCAGAACTCCCTTGCCCTGTGACTTTCAAGAAACAAATTGTGTCGCTGGCCCATCGGTGATTGGAGGGGAGGGGAGGAGAGGGGAGGGTGTGGTGGGAGCCCTCGCAGCCACGGGCCTTTCTCCTCTAAAGATTCAGAATTTTTTTTAATAATTTGTTTTTTAATGGTGGCTGTTCCTTCACCCTATAGAAAAGTTAGATGAATAAAGGCCGCTGACATTAAGTGCTAATGAGCCCTTCTAATGTCGTTCTGAGCTCCCTACAAAACTATGAATCTCATTCTTTAGGCTACATCTCAATAATGTCCAGAGCATAAAAGAAGCATTTGAAAGGCGAAATATAGAAGAGTCCAAGGACTGTGGTTTAGCCTAGTTAACTCCTGGGATGAGGGGAGGGGCCCGATCCTCTGACAGCTCCGTCCCATCTTCAGGGAGTTTAGGGCATTTAACTGAAGCGACATCATAAATCCCAGCACCACACATCGAACATCCAAGACGATGCTAAACTTGGAATGGAATCTCAAAGCCAAGACGTCCCTGGGGACAAAGTCCTTCCAGAATTCCTGCCTCGCTTTGAGGCGAAGGGGCTTTGGTTCCAACAGGCAAGGTGTGGCTCTCTTCACTCAGTGGCTGTGTGGCCTCGGGCAGGTTACTTAAATTCTCTGGGTTTTCCATTTTCTCAGATAAATGAGGACAATCATGGTACCTATCTTGTAGTTATTTAATAGGGTCACTAAGATTAAGGGAATGAAAGTGTGACAAAACCTGTTTTTATCCAGATATTCCTCATGGTTCTGGAAATGCAATGTTGTCTTCTATGATTATTATTAGCCGTTCTTAATATTCCTACCCCCTGGGTCTATTGGAAGGATCCAAGTGTTTCAGTGAAGAGCCTAGAACCAACTGGCACTACCCAGATATTATTATGGACCTGGTTTTAACAGAGTCTGGAGCCAGGACTTCTGAATTCCCCGTGCCCACCCTCTGCCCCAGCTGAAGGACCTGGTGATGCCTACCCAAAACCCACCTGAGATGGAATGTCGCCTGTGCAGGCAGCCTGAGTCATACAAATGATTATCCATATGGAAGGCAACACAGTGCTTATTAGTACCCACTGCTCCCCAGCAGCAGTCCCTGGGGGTGGCAAGAGAGGCAGGGTAAGTTCAGATAGAAGTTATTTTAGCACTGGTGAACGATTCAGCCCCGAAGAAAGAATTTTTTTACAAACATGAGAAGCACCTGAATTAAAATTGCCGCTATGTTCTGCTCTTGCGGTTTATCGGATTTCCAAGTGGCTTAAGTGACCTGCATAAGTCTTCCTAAGGAGACTAGGCCCAAAGGTGAGGAAGTGTGTGTTAAAACATCATGCTGACACCCCACATTTGACAGGGGAGGGGAGTGGGGCACAGAGAGGGGAAGTGGTGGGCTCAAGATCACACCACGGGTTAAGGGCAGGGAAGCCAAAAGTCTGGTCTCCTGATGGGGCTGGGATTCATTCTGGTGGCCACCAGAGCAAGTCAACCATTTTCACCTATCCATGCCACCTGAGGGATCCTTATAGGTGGTTCAACTCAGTGCAGAGTTGAAACATGTTGAGTAGAATTCATTGCCTCCCCAAATGTTAATATTTCAAGAGAACGGTTATCTACTCACCATGGGTTCATCCTACTTCTTCAAGTGCTCCAAGAATTTGGTGAGGGTCATTGTTGCCGTCAATGTTTCCAAGAACCTTCAAGTTCAGGTACATAAAATTGTTAGACCTCTTTCACGTACCTACAGTTCATCAGCTGAATTTGTAGTCTTCAAAATAGGGGAAGAGGTAAGGGCCAACGTTTGTGGTTCATAAAATGACTCTTAACAGCGATATAATGAAAACAAATAGAAATGGACAATTCTGAAGAATTGTGTTTGAGAAATTAAGGCTTAAAAATCTGCTACACGTTTGCTATTTAAAACTGGGCAACCAGGTCTGTCACTCAAAAGGCAATGAACAGGCAATTCGACCCCATTCTGATTCAAGAAAAGCAAAAATGGCTATAAAAGTAGTAGGAGGGGGAATAATTGGGGAAATTTTACTCTGGCCTCAACACTATCCCTTCCACCACCACCACCACCACCCCCCCACCGCTGGGCTGCAAGTTCCTACCAGGCACCTGCCCATTTGTGAAGGAAAATTGATGAGTCAGTTCGCTGGTTGGCCAAACCAGCCAGATGGAATGTCTACACTGCCCAAAGTCACAAGGTACCTGACCAGCCACGTTGTGCAGTAGAAACAGCGCCAGGCCAGGGCATCCCAGACCTGGGGTTTTATCCCAACATTGCCAAGGACCATATGATTCTGGGAAA